AATTGTATAATGTATTAGGTTTATGATATGTATAATGTATAGGGTCTGTTTAATAAACTAGGTTTATGATATGTATAATGTATAGGGTCTGTTTAATAAACTAGGTTTAGGATATGTATAATGTATAAGAATTGTATAATGTATTAGGTTTATGATATGTATAATGTATAGGGTCTGTTTAATAAACTAGGTTTATGATATGTATAATGTATAGGGTCTGTTTAATAAACTAGGTTTAGGATATGTATAATGTATAAGAATTGTATAATGTATTAGGTTTATGATATGTATAATGTATAGGGTCTGTTTAATAAACTAGGTTTAGGATATGTATAATGTATAAAGGTTGTATAATGTATTGGGTTTTGGGATATGTATAATGTATAGGGTCTGTTTAATAAACTTTGTTTAGGATATGTATAATGTATAAAGGTTGTATAATGTATTGGGTTTTGGGATATGTATAATGTATAGGGTCTGTTTAATAAACTTTGTTTAGGATATGTATAATGTATAAAGGTTGTATAATGTATTGGGTTTTGGGATATGTATAATGTATAGGGTCTGTTTAATAAACTATGTTTAAGATATGTATAATGTATAAAGGTTGTATAATGTATAGGGGTTGTATACTCTATTAAGGGTTTGGGATATGTATAATGTATAAGAATTGTATAATGTATTAGGTTTATGATATGTATAATGTATAGGGTCTGTTTAATAAACTAGGTTTAGGATATGTATAATGTATAAAGGTTGTATAATGTATTGGGTTTTGGGATATGTATAATGTATAGGGTCTGTTTAATAAACTTTGTTTAGGATATGTATAATGTATAAAGGTTGTATAATGTATTGGGTTTTGGGATATGTATAATGTATAGGGTCTGTTTAATAAACTTTGTTTAAGATATGTATAATGTATAAAGGTTGTATAATGTATAGGGGTTGTATACTCTATTAAGGGTTTGGGATATGTATAATGTATAAGAATTGTATAATGTATTAGGTTTATGATATGTATAATGTATTGGGGCTGTTTAATAAACTAGGTTTAGGATATGTATAATGTATAAAGGTTGTATAATGTATTGGGTTTTGGGATATGTATAATGTATAGGGTCTGTTTAATAAACTTTGTTTAGGATATGTATAATGTATAAAGGTTGTATAATGTATTGGGTTTTGGGATATGTATAATGTATAGGGTCTGTTTAATAAACTTTGTTTAGGATATGTATAATGTATAAAGGTTGTATAATGTATAGGGGTTGTATACTCTATTAAGGGTTTGGGATATGTATAATGTATAAGAATTGTATAATGTATTGGGTTTTGGGATATGTATAATGTATAGGGTCTGTTTACTAAACTATGTTTAAGATATGTATAAAGGTTGTATAATGTATTGGGTTTTGGGATATGTATAATGTATAGGGTCTGTTTAATAAACTTTGTTTAGGATATGTATAATGT